TGGCATCTCCTGTATACTCTCCCAGGTTCCCTCTAACAGCTGCCCGTCCATAGCTGGTATCTCCTGTATACTCTCCCAGGTTCCCTCTAACAGCTGCCCATCCATAGCTGGTATCTCCTGTATACTCTCCCAGGTTCCCTTTACCAGCTGCCCGTCCACTGCTGGTATCTCCTGTATACTCTCCCAGGTTCCCTCTGACAGCTGCCCATCCATAGCTGGCATCTCCTGTATACTCTCCCAGGTTCCCTCTAACAGCTGCCCGTCCATAGCTGGCATCTCCTGTATACTCTCCCAGGTTCCCTCTAACAGCTGCCCATCCATAGCTGGCATCTCCTGTATACTCTCCCAGGTTCCTGTTAACAGCTGCCCGTCCATTGTTGGGTAAATGGGTTGTAGAAATTGTATTATCAATCTGTGTGGCAGTATGTTTGGCAGATGTCTGCTCTCTGGATCTCTGGAACTTCCAATACCGAGTTCCTCTGCTGTAACAATACAACCATTATAATGCGGGGATGTGTTGCTGGTACAATGTTTGTTGGAAGGCTTCACATACAACTGATGAATCTTGAAGCGCAGATCTTTATCTGTCTCGTGTCAGCCGCTGTGGCAAACTCACTTGTGTCCGTTTCCTGTTTTATTTGCTTATTCCACAACTGATGTATTGTACTGTACATATAAAATCAATATCATTAGAAAAACAGAACATTAGAAATAGAGAAGGCAGAAAAGGAACAAGAGGTCCATTGAGTCTGCACTTTTTGTGTAACCATATTGTCTGATCTATGTTTGTCCCAAGCATGTTTAAATTCACATTGGGGTCTATTTTTAAACAATTTGGAGAGCCATTCGTCCTGTGAATCTCTGTGAACATGCGTTCTGTGCAAATAGAGGCAAAAATGAACATTCCTAGTATATTTTGTTTTTAAGTTATATAAACAGGGCTCGAAAATCCACTCGTCTGCGACGAGCAGACGGTGGAGCCCGATGAGCAGCTTCCGGGCTTCATAAAAAAAATAAAGCATAACATTTATTTTTTTAAACATTTGTTTTAAGTCTGCGCCCCCCTAATACACACGCATATATTCGTCAGGTGCGCCTACGTGCTGCACATGTTGCATATCGCCGCAAACGGAGTGAGAGCAATCATTTTAGAGCCATTAAGGCCGGGTTCACACCTGGGCATTTTACAGCGCTGATCGACGTGCTGTAAAACGCCCTGCAAGTGAAATTCCATTATTTCCTATTTTGTCAGTCGGGGTAGCAAACCACCAACGTGTCTGTTTTCCTCAATGACATCTCTGCATGAGATTGCAGTAAAGTTCATTTTTGGCTCATTCCAGTGTTTGGAACAGTCGAGGAGCGGGCAACCTGGGCACTCCAGCTGTGGTGAAACCACAAATCCCGTCATGTAGATGCATGCCTGTGACTGTCAGGGTCTTACAATGCCTCATGGGACTTGTAGTCCCACAACAGCTGGAGTGCTGAGGTTGCCCAAACCTGGTTTATATGAGTGAATTTGGTGACCCATACGCGGCTGGCACTGCCACTTATGCTGCCAACATTCACCCAAACACTGAAAAATATCATGTATGGGCAGGCCGGCCCTTTGGAACTATTCTCCAATATATTTCTGAGCGCCTCCATCTGATAAAAGCCGCCGGGAACGCGCGGTGTGCCCTGTAATAAAAGGCTCAGGTAATAAAGCCTGGCAATAATTAGGTCAGCTGGGGATATTTGTGACGGAGATTGTAAAGGAAACAAATACAATCCGCAAATTAAAACTATTTATACTGCTGGAAAAATCCCCCGGAGCACGTCTCTGAGATCCGCCGTAATTAAAACCCGAGAGCGCTATTTCCACCGACTGGAGGGAGTCTCATAATAAGCTGTATGTCAACATGGCCGCCCGCACTTGTAGTGTTATCAGTGTAGAAGGCGGATCGGTTGGTAAATCTACAACAAAATGATAATTTCTTAGTAAATTTCCACCTTTTTATCATTACACCCTGGAACTCTAGCCAGTGACGTTGCTTAGGCCGAGATGAGTTCATGATGTCATTAGTCTCCTGCAGGAAGGAGGACACATTTCCTCATTCTCCTTTCCCAGAGTGATCAGTCTGCTGCAGGCATGAGAAAGCATTCCCTCAGTTTCAGCTCCCACAGTGATCAGTCTGCTGCAGGCAGGAGGAAGCATTTCCTCAGTCTCCTTTCCCACAGTGATCAGTCTGCTGCAGGCAGGAGGAAGCATTTCCTCAGTCTCTCCTCCCACAGTGATCAGTCTGCTGCAGGCAGGAGGAAGCATTTCCTCAGTTTCACCCCCCACAGTGATCAGTCTGCTGCAGGCAGGAGGAAGCATTTCCTCAGTTTCCCCTTCCACAGTGATCAGTCTGCTGCAGATAGGAGAAAGCATGTCCTCAGTCTCCTCTCCCCCAGTGATCAGTCTAGTACAGGCTGGGGGAACCATTTCCTCAGTCCCCGCTCCCCCAGTGATCAGTCTACTCCAGGCAGGAGAAAGCATTTCCTCCGTCTCTACTCCCCCAGTGATCAGTCTGCTGCAGGCAGGAGGAAGCATTTCCTCAGTCACCTCTCCCCAGTGATCAGTCTGCTGCAGGCAGGAAGAACCATTTCCTCAGTCTCCCCTCCCACAGTGATCAGTCTGCTGCAGGCAGAAGGAAGCATTTCCTCAGTCTCCTCTCCCCCCTGTGATCAGTCTGCTGCAGGCAGAAGGAAGCATTTCCTCAGTCTCCCCTCCCACAGTGATCAGACTGCTGCAGGCAGAAGGAAGCATTTCCTCAGTCTCCCCTCCCACAGTGATCAGTCTGCTGCAGGCAGGAGGAAGCATTTCCTTAGTCTCCTCCCCCAGTGATCAGACTGCAACATTCTAACTATCAAGCCTATCAGCTTGCAAGTCACAAGGCTGATAGGCTGCAGTAGGGGCTGATCTGTGTCAGACATTCATGAACACAGCCAAGAACTGCACAAGCACCAGGATTGACATGACTCTGTCGTCGGTGATCTTAGACCAGGAAGTAGACTAAAGTATGTATATGGGATTTGTAGTGATTGAATGTTTTTCCTTCATGTGGGGAACAACCCTGATTTCTGTTTATGTATATTATTAATCACATTAATGGTGTCTAGTGTTGCTATTTAATAATGTTTTCTTTTTTTTTTCTTTTGGTTCACATTTGGAGTTTTTGGATGTAGAAACACAATTCTGATGCATTTAAGATCACTTTACACTTCGTGTCATCATTTTAGTATTATGTAACCTTCAATGAGCCTTCCAATAAGAAAACACAGTGACAGAAACATGGATAGCAGCCAAAATATGTTCAGTTAGCGCAACAACAGTGACACCTGCAGATGAAAAGTAGGTATAGCACTCAATAATGTCCTATATACAGTATACTGTATATTAGGGTTGCAGCAATACCAATACCGTCTCGATGCTGATTGGCCGGGAAACAGGCTTCCCAGCCAATCAGCATCGAGACAGGTAACAACAACATGGAGCCGGCTTGCCGAGCAATCAGGAAACCGGGCGGCATGTCAATACCCGCCGCCCGGCTTCCTGATTGCCCGGAAGTCGGCTCCATGCCGGTTGAAGCACCGGTATTGATACTCGGTATCGGCAAGTACTGAAAGCAAAGTATCGGTACTCGATACCGAAAAACTGGTATCGGCGCATCCCTAATATATATATATATTACAAATTACCTGCAGACCTGTCAGTTGGGGAAGCTAAAGACATATGGGCCTCAGTATAAATATTGCACCCATGTCCCCTGTTTCTGTCCTTTGCTGCCCTCCATTATTGTCTTTTTTACTTGGTCTCGCTCTGATTGCCCCCACCTTCCCCAACCACCCCACCCTTACTGCCCCTCAGTGACATAGACAGTCAGTGTAGAGCTCACCAAAGAGCACAGTGATGCTTCCGCTTGTATGATTTCCCATGTATTCCCTGCACTTGGTTTTTAATGTCAAACGTTCATGTGCCAGAGGGGTCTATTTTTAAACTATACCTTTGCCCTTCAATTATCTGTGAACATTTGTTCTGTGTGAATACATGCCAAAGCAAATATTCTTTACAAGGCAATGTATTTCCAAATGTTTCCCCCCCCCCCATTTGATAC